TAGGGAGTAGTATTTTCTCCATCTTATTCCATATTTATTAAAGAGAGGAACTCTTTCAAATTGATTAAACTCTAATCCTTGAGCAAAATCACATTCACCATTAGAAGTAAGAAGTAAATACAAATCTAGGTAGCAGTCACCTGCAGAGCCAGGATGTCCTAGTGTAGGGTGGGTGAATTGTGCATGCGCATGTGTGTGTGCACGCATGTGTGCATGTGTGCGTGTGTGTGTGTGCATGTGTGCGTGTGTGTGCATGTGTGCGTGTGTGTGGGAAGGATCCAAAGAGTGGAGGTAAAAAGGAATGCATATGAGCCTTGTCCCAACCCCAAAATAATCTCTAGAAAACATGCAGCCCACACCAGCACATTGTAGTTATTCAAATGTCATCAAAATACAGTTTCATTCATATTTCAATGAAAGCAAACCCTCACTGAGTTAGGTGAGCTCAACAGTTCATTGCTTGTGCTTCTACTGTGGCATTTATTTCATTATAATTTGTTTATGGCTTGGCTTTTAAATATTTATTTCATCCCTGGACTCTTAAGTTTGTTGTATCTATACTCGGTTGAATAGCGTCCCCTCAAAATTTATGTCCATCTGAACAGGTGCAGACTTAATCAAGGTAAGGTGAGTGAGCCCTAAATCCAATGGCCAGTGTCCTTGCAAGAAGAGAGAGATTTGGAGACACAGAGAACACATAAACACAGAAAACACACAGGGAGGAAGAACCATGTGAAGACACGGTAAGGAAGCCATGTGAAGACAGAGGCAGAGGCTGGAGTGATGCAGCTGCAAGGAAAAGAACACCCGGGGGCCAGCAGCCACCACAAGCTGGGAGGAGCAACGAAGGGTTTCTCCTGAGAGTCTTCAGGGGGCTGTGGTCCCACTCACACCTTGATTTTGGACTTCTAGCCTCCAGAACTGTGAGAAAACATATTTCTGTTGTTGTAAGCCAGACAGTTTGTGGTCATTTTTTATCTAGGCAGCTGTAGGGAATTCATACAATATCTATTCTGGTATTGCTCACAATGCAGAGCACAGTACTTTGCTTAATGTGGGCCCTGCACAGCATCTAGAGAGAGAACAAAGCATAAACTTTGGGCAAAGACATAGCAAATGGGCTAGGAGGATCGTGACAGTGACTCCTATTTGTTGAGCCCATGTCTTGCGCCAATCCTTATGACTCAGCTCAGACAGGATGACTCCTGCTTCACAAGGCAGGAAACTGAACCTAAATGATGGCCACCTGCTAAGGGTACCAGGCAGTGGAGATCAGACTTTAGGCCTGTGTCTGGCTGACACCTAAATCTGCAATCTTTCTTTCAAAAGACGTTCACATCTCATGAGGTGTTTTGTTCCATCAACCCGAGGTTGAGATCACACTTCTGAGAAAATGAAGTGTCTACAGAATCCATAGGAAAAGGAAGAAACTGGCATTTGCCCAAGAGAGTGATGTCCCCTGATTCTAGAACACTTGTAAGGGAGGCTGAAGTATCTATCAATTTTTATAGAAGACTTCTTGCCTCTGAAACCACCTCTGATCTCCCGGATGCTGCTAATGGAGTAACTTCTAGCTCACTCCTTTGACAACTGAAAGAGACACATCTAAGAATTTTCAAAACAGAAGACTCTACAAGCTTTCTTTACAGACATTGAAAGCCAGTAGCCATATGAATAATGTTATAACTTGTCCACATCTGATGATATCAAGAGACTGCCACTGGAAACAGGCAGAGCGCTGGTCAAGGTGCAATAATGACAAGCCCCTGCAAAGGAAATCAGTCAACAAAGGAGAGGGGAGGTGACGGTAGAGGATTAGGAAATGAAAATTTTAAATTACAGGAAGAATAGAAGAATCATAAAAGTGTTATTAATCAAAAGGATAGATTTCTGCCTTATAGCTGAAATCTAACACTCACTGTGTATACACTTTTTATTGTAAAAAAGTGACACAAGGCTAAATCATAACAATGTGAATCAATAACTAATTAGCATTTATAAATGCAGCTACTGGGAAACATATTTCAATTTCATAGCAAGGAAACAGAAGAATCGATTAACAAAGCCAAAAGTGAAGCAAGCGTATGTTTGGCCAGGCTACACACACAACTGCAGTTTGAGTCACAGTTGTGCTCCCAAGATGTACAAGTATAACCTGATGCCACTGGCTCAAGCCAAACCAATAATCAGACCCAAAGAGAAAGGATATGCATGAGGTGCTCAGCTTCCCGCCAAAGGCACTGGGGAAATAGACCATCTTCTCTGGATATTTTTTTCTAGGATGGCCTAATGGAGATGAATAGAGAAAAATAAATAGGCAAAGAAGGGGAAACAAGTATACTAAACAAGAGTTGCTGCACATGTGGCGCTATGAAAGGTGCAAGAGTGCATGGTCTGGTGTAGTTGCAAGTCATTTCAAGAAGACAGATGGCTTCAAATTTAACACTCTTTCCTTCCTTCAGATTTGGCATGTGTTAGGAAGAAGATTGAAATGAAGTCATTAAAATGAGCAAACAATTCAGTTTGCCATTGTATGTGTTGATTTTCTGACATGATTTTGTCACACCTCAACACACTTAGCTGTCAGTAAGTGCTGACATGACCTGGTTCCATCTCCATTAGAGGCAGCAGCCTCCTTATTCCCCAAGGCCCACCACGGAAATGAAATGATCATCTGAGGCAAGAGCCAGGCATTGGGGGAAAAAGGAAAAGAAAAAAAGGAAGAGTTCAAACACACGGGGTAAAAGGGATGATTGAGAAGAAAAAGCAGCAGTGGAAAAGTAGCATGTGAAGGGGAAAGTAGGGTATTGCATCCTGTATTTTAGCCCCTGCAACGCAGCCTGGCAAGCCTTGAGCATGACTAGAACAAAGAAAACGTCTTTTCCATACCTCCTGGCATAGCCACTTGCTACCATTGCCTCCTTCAAGACATAGGCTGGTTTATACTCACTTTTCATTAAGTCGTAGATTCATTCCAGCAAAACGCTAAAACATCTCTCACCTGCTATGGTGCTAATGTACATAAAATTCACATTACAGGCAGGCTCCATTATTGGGGTCTTCCTTAGAGAGGACCCTTGCCTTCGCAGGCCCTCTACCATGTTAGTTCTCCAATTTGACTGGTGCCACCATGTCTCACCTCACTAGATCCTGTTTTTTTTTTTTTCCATTCCCAGACCTTGGATTTTAGCTTGTCTTTGAGAGACTGCACATTTAGTTACCTCAAAGTTAAAAATAGTAATGGATATTCTTTATTCACTTTCAAAGCTTTTTTTTAAACCCCACTTCCTATCCAGTTTGATTTCTTTTTCAGACATTCTGTGACTCCCAAGATGGGTTCCATAGCATCCTCTCTGCTCCCAGAGCACGCTGTGTATGTCCTTATCCTAGGACTGGCCACACACACGCTTACAAGGCTGGCTCCCAGCCTTGAATGGAAGAATGGAACTAGAATGGAAACTCCTCAAGGGCAGGGAGAGTGTCGTAGCATCCACAGTGCCTGGCACAGTGCTTAGCACATAGCTGATACTCAAGAAATGATACAGAACAAATGAATGAATGTCATTCACCTTTGGAAATGACAGATTTGAAACTGTGCCTATAAACTTTATAAAATTAACCAGGGAAGCAAGGAGGGGGAAAAACAAAAATAAACCACACTTCCAGCACAGTCAGCATCCATCACTAGGTCGGTTTGCTCTCTGACCCCTTCCTCATAGTTGTTTGCCTATTTTCTTAGAATCATGTAGACTCTAAGGTTATAGTTCCCTTTAACTGCTCCATAGACAACAGCTTGAACGTCACAAAATGTTAAATTTTCCCTTTCAGATATTCTTTCAGGTCCTGCATATCAGCAAAACTACTGATGCCAGCTGAAGAGGACCCCATGAGAAACTCCTTCACCAAGGAATGCAGTTTCCATATACTAATGATTTCATCCCTTTCACCCAATCCTGTAAATGACCCCAATTTTCTAACCCCTCACTCTCCCTTATCCACTTAAAAATCCAAGCCCAGAACTCCTTGGGGGAGATGAATCTAAGTTTCCTTCCATCCCCTTACTTGGTGCCCTGAGATAATTAACTATGTCTCTGCTGCAAATCCTGCTGTCTCAGTGTACCTGGACTGTCACTGTGCAGTGGGCACATGAACCTGTTAGTCCTGTAACAGAGTCGTATTGAGAGCCAGGGTAGCTAATGAGGCACTTGACATAATAAGACACTGCCAGTGGAGAGTAAAGAAACTCTCTGATTGCTTATCAAAATTAACTTTTCCCTAAACCAAGGCTCAGCAATTGGGACATACAACACAGAAGTCATATTTTGTACCAGTTGACCTCAGATGTACTGATGATTTTTAAATAGTAGGCCTATTTTGGCCAACAATTGAGTTTCACCATTGTAGCTCTGCTGTTTGAAATTTACAATTTCTTCTTTGTAACATCTGCTCTTTCTTCTCCTTCTATCCTGTCACAGCCTTCTAGAAACATTTATCCATAAATGAAAAATGCCTTAGACTGTGGTGTACAGTGCATTCCCAAGCTGCTCATTTTCTTATACCTCTCCCACACAAGTAGCCAACCTGGGTCAGACAGCTTTCCTGTATAAATTTCCATGAGAACAAGAGTCCAGGACTCTGTTAATTATTCCTTACCACGGTCAGGTATAAAATGTTGAGGTGTTCCTCCAGGTCAAACAGTTATTCTTTAAAACATTACAAACTTATACAAAGCACCATATTTTTCTCACAATATCAGCATAATACAAACTTTGCTTTCTTGAGTGAATCCTCCATTTTCTATGTGAATATATCCTTGCATACAAATTCCTTGAAAATTACTTTTCAAGTTCCAAGGATCATTAATTTAATTGAATCTGCTTCTAATTTTTAATTAAATCTGCATTTCTCCCAGTAACCTTTGGAAAGAGAAGCCACATTACCATATTGAAAAGAATAGGATCACAGGGCAAAAGAGACATGAAGAAGTACAAAATCACAAGGCAGGTTCTCATATAAATTTATTTTTGTACCAAAAAAATTAACATTCAAAGGCAATGTTTTTATTGTACAGTATAAAATAACATTTACTAAATTAAAATTGTTTTTTTTTTTGCTGATAAACCACTAATAACTTTTCTATTTTGAAAAAAACAAAAAATTTACAATTTGCAGCACTTGTAGAAAAACACCTGTTCAACAATTATATAAATACTCTTGACAGATTTCAGTGGCCCATTATGTATCCTCTTTGGCAATGTCAGCTTTCTAAAGTCAATTAGTTTCTAAATTTGAAAGGCACCTGGTGGCCGACATCCTGCTTATTATTCAAGGCATCCATGTTAATTTTTTTGCACAGGCTTGACAAGTCTGAAAAATCTATTCAGTTAAAAAGAATGAAGAAATACACTGCATTTGATATTAGGAAACAACATTTTCCCCCTCCTTAGCTGCAAGTTTTCCCCAGGGGATTTACAAAGTGCACCAGTTAAATATGTCTGTACATTTAAAACATTAAATATGTCAACAGCAAGACATTTTTAAATATTTTGAATCAAATACTATAGCACAAATATAATTTACAATAATTGGCACAGAAAACATTACATCTGAAATATAACTTTAGATATTATATAAAAATACATATATTTTCTCTCCTCATTAGAAAAAGTATTTTTTGCAGGTTCCAGCATGATGTAACAATTCAAAAGAATTTACCCCTTCAAATGATCCTTCAGTTGCACTGGATGATACCCTCTCCACTTTGGCTGCATAGGGGCACATGAGCAGGGACTATCCCCTCCCATAGCCCACATGCAGGTTTTCATAAGGTCAACCCATAATTGCTCCAGTCTGGCTTAATTCTAGGAATTCATTACAAAATTTAAAAACCATTGTGTAACACACCATGAGTCCAACATCTCCCACTGGCTGTAAATACGCGTGTTCTCTATAGGGTCAAGAGCTCGGTTACTGAGTCTCGTACTTTTGGGGCCATGCCTCTTAGTAGTCTCACACGCCTATCTACATCCTTCTTGGCTTGTTTTAAAAAAAGTTTCCAAACATCCAGGAAATACATTAACACTCCACAAAATGGGGCTCAATCTATATCTCGAATCTTAAAAGCCCCAAAGTACGTTGCATCCTGATCTGGATCCAGTAGGGAGGGGTTGGAGACCTCAACGCTGATTTCCTCACCAGACCGTAGCTTAAAAAATCCTCCAACGTTTATGGAATAAAAATGGTATTCAGAATTCCCTGACCAATATTTGGTGCTTCCTCCTTTCATCAGGGTCTGAGAACGTGGGATTTTGACGCTGGTTTTAGTTACGTACACCATTAGCTGAAGATACTCTGTGGCTAGGTCTCCTGAAGTTTCATGATGTCGAAAGCAAATGTTGGCATACAGGTAATAAAAGCCGTCCTGATTAACTATTAGTTTTCCGTTGTTAAAAGTCATGTTGGAGATCTTGGCCCAACCCCGATCATGGTACCAAGAAGACAGACTCACTTTGCGCGAACCTGTGGAGAAGAGATTTAAAATTCACTCCTTAAATGAGAAGGACATCTTCACAATTCTATGAGGTTAGGGAGAAAAAGAGCATAGCATTCATTATTCCAATGGGAGAATAACTTATTGGGATTTCTTTTCTAGAAGGGGAGAATACATTCAGATTAGGCACAGTAGAAGGTACGAAGACAAAAATTCATTTTTCCTGCCCTCAAGGAGCCTACAATGCACAGGGGTAAGTACGATATGTGTTCAGAACAGAAGTAAGGCATGGGTACCAATAGGCAAGGTTCAGTAACTCCTATGGGAGTTCAAAGCAGGGAGAGACAAGAACAACATTCCACCCCTGAGGATCAAGAATGTCTTTGTGGAGTTGCTGCTAAGCCTGAGAACTTAAGAGAAATGGGATTCAGCCACACAGATTGGAGCAGAACGGTCGTTCCAGGTTGAAGGAAGAGTTTAGCCAAAAGCAACTGAGATAGGAAAGCAAGAAACTTGGATAGGAAGACAATTTCCATGTGTCACAAGTCTCAACCTTCTCTTTTAATTCATGAAGAGGGAAAGTAGAAGGGGATGAAAAACTGGGTCATAGTAACTTTGGCTGAAAGGTCAGACATCTAAAGTCTATTCTCATCATCTATTTTCTTCACCTCCAGTAGCCCAAATGTCTCCCTCCTTGGGTTACACAACTGAAAAGCTATCCCCAGAGAGGCTCAAAAAGAACATATTCTTGACATTGCACTCCCTAGCTTAACAACTTCACACAATCCTTTCTGACCAAAGGTCTGTAAAGCTTCTCCTGACAGACCAGAATTCTTGTTTAGCCCCTACTCACACCTGAAGTGATGTGACACCTGGTCCTCTTGCTACAGCTCTGAGCAGTAAAAATTTCAAAAGTAGCTTCTAAACCAGCAGCATGTCCATTGCTTTTTGTATTTCGGGTCCTTGGTGTATTTTCCTGGGTCATTAAAAATTGGGAGTACCTCTATGATAAACCCAATTAATCAAACATTTGTATCTATGTGGACACTATTATTCAACTGGAAAAGCTGGTAATTAATGGTGGGAAAGTTGTTAATACTGTGGAAAGTCCAAAAATGCATTTTTCCTCCAGAGGAGTTTGTAAATACTTATGCTAAACTAAGGTCATCTTCAGTTTGAAATCAGGAAAACAAAACAGAGTTGAGTCTCAGACTGGAGGTGGGAGAATTTCTGCAGAGATCTATCAAAACCGACAACTCTCTGGTCAGAGTGAATCCTTATGAGAGCCTCCTAGAGAAAGAAACACACACTAGTTACCTTCCCAGCCTAGCCTGGGTTTGAGGGGCCTTGAGCATCTAACATCTTTATCCAGAGGTCCACAAGATGGAGAATGTTCTACTATTTTATCTAAAGAACTGGGAGGCTGGGACATGGTTTGGGAGCCTTGAAACTAGGCTGCAGGAATCAAACAGGCAGTACTTCCAACCACTTGAGAGAAAAACTGCAGCAAGGGCCATCCGATGGTGGGGCAACCCACCATGAGACGACCAAGAATCCAGTGGTTCCAATCCCTCTGTCTAGAAACAGGATATTTCCTGAACTCCACAACCTGTCTGCAGCAGGGTCATCACAGGCTCTCTTGCCTCCTGGGATCACCACAGTAAACTTCTTTTTCATGGGAGGTCTTATTTCAGGTCATCCCAGATTAAAGCATCCCAGATATAAATACCATCCTATGGTTCCAAGTGAGTCAACATGATCATCACACCCTCATGAACACTAGTAAAGCGATTCCTCTAATCCACTGACAAAACCCATGACATTCAAGATGTTTCCCATCTCCAGTTACCCCATGTTACCCTCATTCTTATCCCACTCTTGTAGTCAATCTGTTGTTCGATGATTTTTCTTATAGTTAACTCTTAACAGAGCAGAAGTCTACCCTCTCAATGGGATAGATCAGCTGGCAGAGAAGCAAGATATGGTCTGGGAAGGCAAGGAAAGAATATGAAATAAAGAGGCAGGAGAAGATAGGAACCTTGACTGATGACCACTTCCATTGTTAGGTAAGCCAAGTGGAAGAAGTGCCCTTATTTCCGACAAAACATCTCTCTATTTTTATGGATTGATTACTCATACATTTACTGGTTCATGCTTCTGGTCAGCCGCACAATATCAATGTGGGGCTTTGTAGGGACAGTCACTCCACTTGTAATTAAGAATTACATCAACCAACTAGACCTTAATGACACTTACCACTAATAGCAGAGAAAACAGAAAATGTGCATATAAAAATGCATTTTCACTTCTGCATTTGCATAGCACATGGTTGACATTCAGTTACAAGCAACTGCCAAGTGAAAGCTACAGAAACTCATGGCAAGCAGGAGAGTTCAGCTGAGGGAGGGGACAGAGACTTGGATGGGCTGAGAAAAGGGAGGGTATTGTCGGTGAGGAAAACTGAGCAAAGAATGGAATGTGCCTGGCACGTATCGATGAAAAGGAGGAGAGCCAGCCACTGTGAACAGAAGACTCAGAAACAGACAATACCAGGAAAACAATGAGAAAAATACGCAGTGATCACACGGCGGGCCTCACATGGAAACCTGGATTTTCATCACTGAGGCACACTGACAACCTCTGACTCCAGCCTCCCAGCTTCGCTGGCCTCCCCTGCCCTGCACGTCAGTCCTCGCTGCTAAGTGCTACAGGAGAGGTCTCTGAAATATTTAGCCTGGGTATCCTCCTAAGGAAAGCCATGTATTCTGACCTCACAAAATACTTCCCAACACATTTCATCTAAGATGTTTTGAAAATGCAAGCTGTGGCAGTCCATATAAGGCAGATTCTGATTTTACACGTGTAAGTAAGTATAAAACAGAGCCCCAAAATAAACACGCAAAATTAAAGCCACTTCCTCTGAAACCTCCAGTGCTGGCCAAAACTGGGTAATAAACGGACTCAAGGAGCTGTGGGTCCAGCCAGAGCCACCAATTCTATTTTCTTAAACAGAAGTATACACTAATTCATTTCACTCAGTCACAAACTCAATAACTGTCAGAAAATAACCAGGAATTTTGCCTTGTGTTTTTGGCAGTGATTTGATGCTAGGTGCCTGCAGAGAGTGTTTTTTTTTAACTAAAACATGCTTGCTATTGCCAAACAGACTTTGGCACACAGTCTAATGCAATATTTATCATATGCCATTTAAAGTGAACTGAAAAGATAAATGTAGGGTACATTAATAGCACACATAGCTGATGCATTCGTATTAATTTGATTGCCTTTGCTAACATGCAAAATAGTTTTCCACTCAGAGAAGTTAATACAGATGCATCCATATTTATTTGATTGCCTTTGCTAACATGCAAAACAGTTTTTCACTCAGAGAAAATTAGTGTAGCTCCACCATAAGACATGCACAGACACACAGAGAGAAAAACTATTTATCAACGAAGTATCTGGGACAGAAGAGGTCGTTTGGAAAATCCTGTAAAAGCCGAAGAGTTGGTTTCTCCCTTTCTGTGTCTTCGGTCAGGAAAAAGACCTCTCTTGTCCATGCCGTAATAAAGTTTTCCAAATAATTTAGTAGAACTTGAATTTTCTTTCTTTAACTCCAAGAAAAATTTGCCTTAAATTATTTGTAGGAAAAAAAGTGGAATATGTATAATTATTTAATTAAACTCAAAAATAATGACTCACTCTCACAAATGCTTACTCTGGCCATTCTTTCACACAAGAATGTTAGTACTCTACCTCATTTAATCTTCATAGCTACCCCTTGAGGGAGACGCTATCATCATACCCATTTTAGACGTGATGGAGCTGAGGCATACGTGATTTAAATTGTACAAGTTCGCAGAGCCAGTACAATGGAGCCTGAAACTCAGGCAGTCAGATTTTAGCACCCCTGTTATTAGATGTTACATGAATCTACTCACAGGAAAAGAGAAGCAGAAGGGCTTTGAATTCTTTCCCTCTGGCCAAGCCACCTGACCACAGTACCTTGTGGCCTGCTTATGTGATAACAGAGAGCACAGAAAGCAAGGTCTTAGTAATCAACGGGACTGGAATTCAACTTCTAATCCTACCACCATCGTGACCGGGAACAAATGACAACCTATGTATCATTCAGTTTCTCTGTCTGCCAAATCCACAGTGATAATCCCCGCCTTGCAAGATTGCAGTAAGGATGAGAGATAATGAGCAAGGGGAAAACGCCTGATTGACAGGTGGAAGAGTTCATCGGGTAGTCACAGACTCAGCCACCTCCTGCAGAGTGAGTGCCAGGGAGGACACCTGAAGATCCCACTTTAAGAACTTCAAGTGTTCCATTAGTGGCATGATAACAAGAATGTTCAACTGTCACTCTATCGTAACGTTCTTTGCCATCTTTTTGATAGCTATCTAGCCCAAGGCAAAGTAACCAGTGGGGGCTGTATCATGGAATAACTGATGCACTAGGGTAGCCGTAGGCAGGGAGCTCCTGGTGTCTTCATTTTCAAGATAATCAGGTCTCTAGTCCATTGAACTAAGCCTTTACTCAGAGAAAATGATAAGCCCCTGGAGAAAGGGGAGGAGGTCTCATTTTCTAGAGGCTTACTGTCTCTTAAAGGTCTTAAGGTCCTCCCTGGACCTCTGCAGGAGATGACTGGGGTATGTGACTACCTGATGAATTCAGTCATCTCTGAGGTCAGCAGCAGGGCTGTGTCAACTTGAGCTTGGGTAAGTACAGATGAGCATGACAAAGGATTGTCCTTCCCGGTTACAGGCTCTCAGCTGACAGTCATTTAAAATAAGCATCCATTCTAATGATCTGAAAATGAATAGACTGACGATGTCCCTTCTGACATTTTTGAGAATCACGGTTTCCAGGATGTGAATCATCAACTGAGGATAAATGGTCTTTCTTTTCGCTTTGAAGTAAGGGCTCTCAAAAATTTAGTGACAGGCTAAAAATAGGTTTCAGTGTTGAAATGGGCTGATAAATGACTCTTTAAATATTTTCAAGCTGGATGCAAATGGAGCTTACCAGATGGGATGCTGGTGGCATTAATAGTGAGATGAGCAAAAGGCTGAGCTTCAAGCTTGCTCCTCTTGGCCAGATCTAACCATGAACCATCCATCATCGCTGGAGAAGAGAGAAACCACGTTGTTTTAGCTAACAGAGTAGTGACCCTGTGGGATTTCATACATACATATGGATCCATGCTTACCTTTCTCTGCTCTGATATACTGTGATCCAACAATATGCTGTAATTCCTGAAATAAAAAGGAAAAATAATTTTATTTATAAAAATCATTCTTTCTGTACAGCAGTAAGAATTCAGGGCCGTTACATATGCAATAAATTAACCCTCTTTTCCTTCCAAAGGTGCCATAATAGCATTGGAGTGAAATTCCTAGATGTTCTAGATGGCTATCAAGGGAAGTTCACCCCAAAGAATTGGTGTTGATGTGTTTGAGACCATACCCAACATCAAACAAAATACTTTAGACAATAAGAGGAAATAAAAGATGGTGTAAATTATAAACCGTAGCATAATTGAAAATAATTAAAAATCTGTAGCAGGTACACAAATGGAGATGAAGTTAACTAGGAAAATAACAATTACACAGAATATATGACCCTCTTAAATATTGTGGAACGCTCTTTTTATGTCTATTTCATTAGTGAATTTCTGTTATAATACTAAAGCTCAGCCCACAGGAAAGAGAATGATGCTTAGCTCCCAGTGGTTAATTTTTTACTTTAAAGTTACAGTGTACTTAAAGTACTATATGGAAGTCTAAGAGCCTTTAGAGTACCAATAATTAACTTAAAATACTGCCACAAATAGAGGGTTAGAAGCACAAGCCAGAAAAAGAAAAAAATCATAAAGAGCGTAGGTAATTGCATATCTCAATTTGAGCCCTGAGAATAAAGGATTTAATAGGTAACCACATGCCCACCTGGATCCAGACATTAGCTGACATTAAGATGTCACATCTTAGGGCAAGAGTAAGGTGGAAGGGATGACAGCTCAGGATTTTACCTTGGTTCAAGTCCTTGCATAAACAGGACATTAACAGCATGGGTACTTGTGAAGACTAAATGAGATAACGTGTGTAGCGACTTAGCAGAGTGCCAGTATATTTAGATGTCTATTATATACTCATCATCCCAGCACTTTGGGAGGCTCAGGTGGGTGGATCACTTGAGGTCAGGAGTGTTGAGACCAGCCAGGCCAACACAGTGAAACCCTGTCTCTACTAAAAATGCAAAAATTAGCCAGATGTGGTGGTGGGTGCCTATAATACCAGCTACTCAGGAGGCTGAGGCAGGAGAATTGCTTGAACCCTGAGGTGTGGGGGGAGGATGCAGTGAGCCAAGATCACACAACTGCACCCCAGCCTCAGTGACAGAATGAGACTCACCCCCCAAAAATAGATATCTATTATAAGGTTACTTAAAAAAGCCACTCTGGAGAGATTACCAATTTCCCTTGTTACTGGAATAACTTATTCATGCTAACCATTCTCCCCATGATGTTTAAAAGATAGGCCATGCAGTTTAAGTTCTTTATGTGTCTAGGGAGGAGGGCTTTGAAACAGACAGACGGACAGACAGACAGATAGTTAGGCAGACAGAGGCAATATCAACTGTTATTAGCTGGAATGATTCTGGAGATAATATTGATTCTTCTTTCTGCTTCCAAACTTCCGAGAGAGAAAGAGACAGAGAGAGAGAGAGAGAGAAAATCTACATTGTTTTGGATGATGGTTGGAGACAGCACAGCTGTCTTCACTGACCTGTTCTGAAGTTCTAAAGTCACAGTGTGGCTATTAGAAAGAAGTCCTAGGACTCACTCACAGCCACTTTCTGCTGTTACCTAGACCCAGGGCGCTGCCCTGCAGAGCTCTGGGAGCGCCATGTGCAGGGAGGGTATTTAGGCGCATGGTGGCCCCTTTTGGGTTGAGTGGCCCTGACCATGCCTCGTTTTCTTCCCCACTCATGCTGACCTCCAGTCTTCCAAGTTTTCCTCAAGACCTCCGGATTCTCAGCGGTGCCCATTTCCTGGAATTTCCTGGTTTTGTCTCCTTTGCCTTCACAACAGATTTAAAGGTACACAATGTATGTTTTTTTTCTTTCTGCAGGTTTTTACTTTCTCCCTTAAGGCTATAGTAAAATTTCATTATCAAGCAGCTCATGGTGCTCTACAACCTGTGAGTATAATTGTGCTGTCTTTCTCACATCAGCAGTTTCCCAGCCATAGGGCCCCTCTCCTTCAAACGCTGCCGCTTCTTCAGCTGGCTTCCAGGCATTTTTCTTGCTGCAGCAGGTGCAAGTGCTGTGGAAGCGTGTGGAGGGGTCTCACACGGATCAGGACATGCCTTGATAGCAGTTTCTTCTTCCTACCCAGTTCTTGTCAGGCAGGTGGCTGGGTGGCCTTCGGGAATAGACCTCCCTCTGCTCCTCTCTTTTTCACTTTGGTGCCAGCAAAGGTGGATACACTGTGTATCTCTATACATTGTGTATATCTTCATATGGTTATATATACACAATATATCTTTACTTGGGTACTGACTCTTAAAGATTGGAACAGGAGCCTTGGTGACAGAGTACACCACCCCTCACTTTCCCTCTAGCTCTGATCTGCCTCTCCATCAGAGGAGAGTAGGGGAAGAAGAGAAGGAAGCAGAACCAAGGCTGGCATATACCTACAAATGCCTGTTTTGTGATTTCCTATACGAGCACACCTATGATTAAGAAAGCCAGGCCAGCCATGATGGCTTATGCCTGTAATCCTAGTATGTTGAGAGGTCGAAATGGGAGGATTGCTTGAGCCCAGGAGTTTGAGACCAGCCTGGGCAACATAGGGAGACCCCCTTCTGTACAAAAATAAATTTTTTAAAATTGTTGGATGTGGCAGCATGCACCTGTAGTCCTAGGTCCTCAGGAGGCTGAGGCAGGAAGGTTGCTTGAGCCTAGGAGGTAGAGGCTACAGTGAGCTATGATGTGCCGCTGCACTCTACCTGGGTGACAGACTGAAACCCAGTTTAAAAACAAACAAACAAAAAAAAAACAAAGAAAAATGCCTTTGTCCTAGCTCAGTGGTCCTCAAAGTTGAGCATGTATGCATTGCACCACCACCTCCTGGAGGGCATGTTAAAACAGACTGCTGGGACCAGCCCTAAAGTTTCTGATCCAGTAGATTTGGGGTGGGGCCTGAGAATTTGCATTCAGCGAGCTGGTGCTGCTGGGCCTGGGGCCTCATCTGAAAATGACAATCCCTTTTATATCCTAAAAGATTCACAGATGTGGAGACTGGAGATTTTCTGGAAGCTTGAGACCTAGGCCAAAGAAGCAGCAGACTCAAGCCACTGATTCAAGGGACAGGGAAAGTTTGTCTTCTTCTACCTGGGAATGAACTTTTCTTTCCCTTTCAATCAGAAACTTCTAGGTTGCTACAGACCCATTTTGTTTTAAGAAAATTCAATAACCAGCAGCACTTCTCAGATGCACTTTCAATATCTGCTTAAAAAAAAAAGGAAAAGGCTTCCTGACCCAGAAGGAATTATAACTCTAGCTAGAGACCCATGAGGTCATTCTGCTCTCATTTTATATCTTTCAGGTGTCGAAGGATTGCAGTTCCACTAAGAAATTTTATAGGTAAGTTTTACAGACATGACGTGTCTATAACCTCAAGGTACAAAGAAAGTATTCCCAATATCTATATCTGCACCCCAGCGTTTTAAGCCATAAAACCATTGTTATTTATGTGCACAGGCATTGATCATAAAAATGACATTCTTCTAAGACTACACTTTCAGGGTGTCTTCCAGCCTTGAGATTGTAACTAAAGTTTTGTATTCAGTACTTGATGCATTCCATGGGGAACCTGGCTGTGCTGCAGAGCCACCTAAGCAGTTTAGAAGATACTCATGCCCTAACCCCAACCTCAGCCAGGATAACAAACCCAATTAGTCTGATAGTGACTTGGCAGTTTTTTAAAGACACTCCCAGGTGATAATATGTAGCAGGTATTGAGAAACGTTGTTACGAATTAAGTGTTCTCATGAATAGTTGTTTGGTGACATCTCAATTTAGTCGAGGGTTTACTACAGTCTCATGACTTGCATATATATTCCACATGTTGAAAATTTAATAACCTCTTACATTTGTAGACAACAAAGTATTTTCCTTGTTACCATATTTGATTTTATTGGAACCAGAGGCTGGAAAACTATCACTACCACTGACCTCGTTTTTCAGACTGAGGAACTGAGGCAGAGAGAGAGAGAATAAGGCTTCACCTAATAAAGCTGAGACTTGAACTTTGGCCTCTGGATCTATTCACCCATATCCCTTCACAGGGCATCATCATAAAATACACTCCTGGAAGTTGGGACAAAAATATCAAATGAGCATCCATGTCCAGCTCCCCAGGAGGATCTGTGATCTGCCTTCACAGAATACAGCATATTCATCATCTGTTACATGCAAAGGGCAATCCTTAGTGTGATTCCCTCCCTCAAGTAGTAATTCTGAAAAGGAGGCTCACCTTGATGGGCATCTGGCTGCTGGGGATCTGGGGATCTGACAAAAAGGGGCTGGTACTTCAAAAAATATGCTCTCAGAATTCCCAGGGGCTTCAGAAAACAACTGGCTCAGAAGTGGCCAAGCCATGTTTATGGCTTGGCTGATAAACCCCCAAAACTGAGACCTGCAGGACATACGGATAAGGGACACTGCATCTCCAAACATGCCCCTATCGAGTCCACTCTACAGAGCAGGAGTCATTCATTCCATGTTGCCATCTTCTCAAAGATCAGAGACTTTGCTATACACCTGCCAAGCATGGACCTTTCAATTGTCCCCTAATATTTTTCATTTTCAGGATTACAGGAGTCCTTCTGAAGAAGAACCCAAACTTCACCCCAATTGACAATTCCATTTATTTTCTAAGCTTTGCATTTACGTTTCTTTTCATCCACATTAGTCTTCTACATCTGTCAGATTAATTAGAGTGTTTTAAAATTTCTGTAGCTCTTTATTCCCAAATCTTATCATTCAGACGGCACTGCCGTTTTCTTTGAATTCAGAAAGTTCTGATAATCTAATTTTGGGAAAACACTACAAAAGAATATCCCGACTCCTTTCTTCTGAACAAATTATTCACATGAAAGATATCTTTTAAAAAATGTATGTATGTTTTATTTTATTTTAAGCCAGCTGTAAATTAACAAAAACCAGTTAGTTAACACTCTGAATAAACATC